GACCCATCTCAACTTTTTGCAAAGGGGCTGGCTGGTGCACAAGGGTGCTCCAGTGCCAGGCTAGCTAGCAAGCAGCACCCACACTGAAGCACCCTCATGCCCCAGCCAGCCCCTTTGCAGCACACTGAGCTGGCCTACTACGATGACCCCTGCCCGCTGGGGCTGCTCTGACCAGGCTCCACAACTATGCATGAATAAACTCTGGAGCTAATTGCTCTGAAGTTATTTGCTCCCAGGTACACATTCAAACAGCACACCCAGGAGCAAAAACCTCCAGAACAATAAACTCCAGAGTTTACTCATGTGCACTAATTGAACATGTAGAGACACCCCAAGAGTCTGCAAGCCATTGCAGCAATTCCAGTTTTTATAAGCCAGACAAACCTCTATCATTTCTCTCCTCCTATATTACTTTGTACCATTGTGAAACAACAGCTTCAGGGTAGGGGAACAAAATGCATCTGGGGGGATAACTTGGCTCTACCAAATAGGCAAATGTCTACACTGTAAACAGAAATGTACTTCAAGAACAATTGGAGCATTGCTTATCTAACAGAATAGATGCTTAAAACCCCTTTTTGTCAGACTAGTGAAATTTGTGTGACTATTTCTTTAATGCTAAATTCAACAGCTCTTTGAAACTGAGATATATTCCATAGCTATTATATATAGGAGTGTTGTACACATCAGAATCCTTTATAAATTAGGGGGGAAATGAAATCAATATTAAATTAAACAAGGAGGACTGGCCCTAAGTAGCTGTCTTACAGAAATGCACAAAACTGCTACAGCTATTTTTCTTAATTGTGACACAAAATAAACACGAAGCAGGAAACATACAGTACTTGTTCACTGGTATATGAAAAAGTGGAAACCTCTCCTGTTCGTCTAATCCATGAAAATTAGGGATAAGCCTGAACCAGAAAAATTATTTTGGATCTAGTTTTCCCTAAAGAATAAGGATTTTTAAATCTGAGGATTATGATTCAGACTAATTTTGAGCAGAAATACATTTCCCCCATAAATTGCAAAAGCATACTAAATACAACCTGCAAAATTATGATGCATCTGAACATGATTTTGAGTTCTGCTTTTACCTCAGATGAAATCTTTTTCTAAACCAGAGTTTATAGTCAAATCTTCCCTGTTGGCAGGAAAGCAATGCTTTACCTTCTGTTTTCAATTTACATAAGTAGCATTGCCCCAAGGCTGCCCATGTTTCATGGTTGGTGCAGAGGGAATTTTTCTGCTCATTTCAATCTAGTTTAACCAGTAGTTTTAACCCGATCTGGTTCCCTACTTTCTGAGTCACAAAACTTTGCATTTCAAGCATTTCTTCTTGATTCCAACGTGCTATAACAATGAATAATGCAGCCTATTGTCAGGAGACAGAAAACATTCCATGGTTTTCAAGTGGGGAAAAAAGCTGCCATGATTTACGATTTAAAATGTATATACAGTACTTCTACTCAAGGTGGATTTAATAAGAAGAAACTGTATGTGTCATGTGCATGCAGCATAGGAAATTCAGTTGGGTGTAATTTAATTCCTGTCTTCAATTTCAAGCTGAATTGTCAGACAATTAAACAGGAATTTTAAAAGTTTCAAATCCTACTGTGGACATTCACTTGTCTGATACAATAAGAAGCAAAAAGTCTCAGGAACAGATACCCCTACATCATATGTAATAGTAATGTTTCAATGATGGCTGCATAAAAGGTAGAGGAAGACTGAAATTATTCTGTACTGGAATCATTCTGTAATAAAAGGTACCTAGGATTTGCACCATGAACACAAAGCAACCATTATGTGTGTGGTATGTTATGTATTCTAGTGTAGCTGTGGTAGCATAGCTATGACATGGAGAAAATATATTATCTTCTGTTTTAAACAATGTATTGGGACAAATATTTAGCTTGTGTAAAAGGGTAGAAAACAACTGAATTCAGTGGCTCTAGATCAGTTCATACCAAGTGAAGCTCTGGCCCACTTGAGTAGAAATGGAATTCAAATTCAAATGGAAGAACTCCTCTTCTTTTGAAATCAGAATCAGATCAATTAGGAATGCATGCCTTTTATTTTTTAAAATGTTGTCATATATTCCTAAAGCTGCAAGTACATTTTCCATGCCAATTTTTTCTGCCTTATGATGTTTTATGATGTAAAAGTAAACATATGCTTGCTTTCTCACAAAAGCTATCTGTTCAGCTTTGTGCAGTGGAATAATTGCAGCAAATGCTGGGTAAAATCACCCCAAAAGATTTTCAGAAACACATGGGAGGGGAAATCAGTGTATTGCTCATTGTATCTGCAATTTCTTTCCTTTCAGTTGGAACTTCTGGAAGCTGAAACTACACCACAGCCGTGACAGGGTCTCCTGCTGCATGGCCTTCAAGGCAGTTACAAACCAGTGCCAGAATATGTCTGTACAGTTTGCTCTAGGACTGTGTAGGAGACACTTTTTCCCCCCACAAGGAAAGTGCCTGCTTTTAAGATCCATCAAAATGATTTGCCTTTGTGGCAACTCTGCATTGTATGTTATAGAAGCATGAAAACTAATAGCAAGCAGAGTCAGAAAACATGAGGGTTACAGTGATTCATTGTATAAAACATATTTGCTTATGAGAAAAAAAATATATATATACACATACATCTAAAATACCACTGTTGTATACTAGTGAGATCAGACAGCCATAATTTTTGCTCTGGCTAGTTTTAGTAGCATAAAACAGGTTGGAAGCAAAAGCTCAAATAGAAAGACAGGCATAGCTTGCTAAATGGAGGTGATCTTCTAATATAGGATGTCTAATATGCTTGAGGACACTTTGTAATACTGTTAAACTAAAAATTTGTTTCAAAGGGTAGTTTCCTGTACAGGTTATATTACAACTGTTTTTCATGCATCAGTTTACATCATGGCCTTCTCATCAGGAAATTACCATTTATGGGGTCAGCTGGAGACTAGCAGTTAAATGGAAAAGAATTCTTTCAGTGCTCACTTAAATAACCCAAGCTTTCACCTTCTCACATACAAGATTTTACCAGAAAAACAGGTGGAAAGCAAAGATTATAAACAGTTGGAAAGGTTTGATGTGTCTTCGTGTTGTTATTGCTAGTGAAGTAGATCCAAAAAGGACTACAATTATTTCTGTAAATTCCCTGTGAATATCCGTGTGTGTTTCAATCCTGTCAGAACTAGCATAGAGTGTATTTACATCCACATTTAACAGGTATTTCCAGTTTCAATTTTGCAATTAGCAACACCTCAGACTTAAGTGACAAGTGTAAAGCACTTTGGAATCCTTCAGGATGAAAAGAGCTATAGAAAATGTAAGTCATCATTATTACATCGGTGAAGTGCTTTTAAGCAAATAGAGAAAACTCTCCAAGTCTTTTTTAAGGAAAATAACATTTTTCAATGAAATTATTTTTTTTAATCAAGTCCATAACATGTTGCTTTTCTAGTTAACATAAGAAAATTCTAACCTGTATCTCCATTTTGTATAGGCTGGTAAAGCACTTTAAAGTTTACAAAAGAAATACTATATAGAAGCAATTACCACATTAAGCTTTCCTCTGATATAAAAGATAGAAAAATCCATGTAGATAACTTCTGGTAATATATGGTATTTTCTAGCCACTGTTTGGTATTTGCTGTGTAATTAAATGGTCAACAGCTACCCAGAAGGCAAAAAGTGCTTAGATGAGTTTCTGTACATTCTAAAATCTTATGAAATATTTATGTTTATTTCTGCTACTGTATTTCTTTCTCTCTCTCTCTCTCTCTCTCTCAGAATTAAAGCTCACTTAAACATGTTTACATCAAAGAATAGTCTGTTATTTCTTCAGTGAATACTATAATAAAGACAGTGGGGCAAATCGTCTGCTACTGGAAATAAGCATAACATCCTTGAAATCACTGCAACTAGATCAGTTTGTTCCAGCTGAGCACCTGGCCCTGTAGATCAATAGACTACGAAAAAGGAAACTAATAAAGTGTATCATTTTCCCCTTCCTGCTGAGGGCTGCATCACAGTGTCACAGAAGTTAATCCAAAGAAGCATCCCCTTAATTTTATGCTATTGTAGCTGTGTTTCCCACTGATTTGCAGAAGAGTGTGAATACCACTTTATTTTAAAGAGCAACACCTTCAGCAGGTAGTAGTAATAGACTGGGAGTGGGGGGGTTAGTGCACCAGCACCAAGAGAAATGTGACACACTTTCTAATATGTCTCCTTGGGCCAGATTCTATTCAACTTACTAGGTTTTGTGGCAACCATCAATCCTCCTGGATCATGGTGTATGCATGAGGGCCACCCAGACTTTCAATGCATATGCCTGGGCAGGAATTTTTGGAGGAGTGGAGGCTGCCCAGAGCGTCCATCCTCCCTTTAGGCCACTGAGACAGAATCCAAAGACCAGACTGAGTCCAGATGTTTGGTGCCTCCAGGGCTGTAGTTGTATAAGTGTCTGGGAATCAAACACCAGATCTCCTGTGTGGTAGACAAGGACTGTACCACAGAACCACAGGGGACTCCAACTTACTAGGTACATTAAGTGAAATTACATGCTGAGAGTCTCATTCTATTCCACACTATCTGAGTTCCTGAAATCAGTTAATGTAAAAGTGGTTTCTCCTTCTCATCACTGGTTTTTTTGGTGGGTTTTTTTTTTTGGTTGGGTTTTTTTTGTGACTTGGTCTTAAAGGTAATTTGACATGTGTATTAAAAAAGTAGATATATGAATATATTTTGGGGACTTAACAGGGCAGAATAGAAACATACTTAGGTTTAGGTTGATCTAAGTGCTCATCCATACAGATGTTTGGGGAGGTAAAATAGGGCAAAAAATGGCTGGCCTGATCTACCTTAGCTCACTTGAAGTGGTGCACTAAGGTGCATTGGTATCTCCTGGTGTCAAAAAAACCCAGAGTGCTGCAAAATAGCAGTGCAGTGAATACCTGCAAGTGTGGCACATGTGGTTTGCTGTGCTACAGAAAGGTCTGCAGCACCACAAACCGTACATGTGTGCTTATCTGGATATACCCATAGAGTTCAAGAAGGGAAGGAAGCAAAGAGAGCAGCATAGTAAGGACAATGGGCAGAATAAGGAAAAACAGACTTTAACAAACTCAAGAATCTCTAGAGCCCAATCCCATGGGAGGTACATTTAAGAAGGGAAAGGTGTCCAGAAAAGCTGGTTGTCCTATGGGAAAACCATGTTAAGATCACAAGAGAAGGCTACCCCCAGGCTAAGGAAGGACTGAAGTGCAACAAAACAGTAGTCTGGCTAAAAAACAACCTCTTCAATGAGTTGAAACTCAAAAAGCAATCCTACTAAAAGGGGAAATTGGCCATGTTATCAGGGACAAATATAGGAAAACAGCAAAGGGAACTTACACAAAAATGAGGAAATTAGTTTAAAAGAAATTAAATGGAGGAGTCAAAAACTGTAAAAGGTCCATAGGCAGCCTAGAATCTATTTAAAACATTTGCTTATGTCCAATCTACTGAAGTTCTTGAGGTTGTTTAAAAGCATGTGGACAAGGGGGATCAAGCTGATATAATATATTTGGACTTTAAGAAAGCTTTTGACAAAATCCCTCACCAAAGGCTTTTAGAAAAACTGCATTGCCATGGGATTGGAGAGAGGAAGCTCTTTTGTGGACTGAGCACTGGTTAAAGATAGGAAGCAAAGGGTAAGGCTAAATGGCCATTATGCAAGATGGAGGGAGGTCAAAAATAGGGTGCCACAGGAATCTATTCTGGACCCAATTTTGTTCAATATTAATGATCTGAAAATGGGGGTGCCTGGTGAAATCTCCAAGTTTGGAGGTGCTACTAAATTATTCCAGGTAGGGATAGCAGGAGGCTTGGTGTTCCTACTACTTTAATAGAAGTCAGATTGCGGATGGAGTAATCTGCAGATTCTGCAGGAGGCAATCAGAAGTTACATGACCCAAAAGGGAGCTGGGCTTACAGGCTATAAGCCCAGAACCCATAGGTGACACATAGGGGGGGCACAAGGGGGCACATGCCCCCCCTGAGATTGGCCCTTGCCAGCTGGGGAGTTGGTGCACTGAGTGAAGTGCTGCCCAGCGCCCCACTTGTGATTGGAATCAGCCAGTACTGAGAAGCACCGCCGGCACTTCGGGTTTTGCCACCGGCACTGTGATTGACCGCTGGGGATTCATCCTTCCCCCCACCACACTTGGCGATCAGCTGCTAGGGGACCCTCTCAGTCAATGATTGGCTGCTGGTTCCCCCCCAGACTGGAGGTACCAGTCGCCTATGCCAGAGCCTGAACTGGGGTGGTCATCTGGTTCTGGCAGCTGGGATTTGAAGAACTCCTGAACAGCAGGGCTGCAGACAGGCTCCTGGCAAACACCTAAGCTGGGATAAAGAGCCTAGTGGTTTGTGGATTAAGACCATGGTCTCAGCAGGCCCAGGACTGGGGCCAAGGCCCAAAAGATAGAGGCTAAGACCAAAGAGCAAGGCCACAGCTGAATGGTTGTGAGGGTTAGGATGGTCATGGATCCGTAGCCTATAAGGGGTGAGACGCAGAGTCAGCAACTCATAGATCAGAAGGGGCAAGCAGTGCCAGGGAGCCTGGAGTTCTCAGCTGGCCTAGGAGCAGAGCCAAGGCCAAGAAGGGGCCAAAGATCAAGGAGCGGCCATAGCCGGAGAGCTGCAATCTGCTACTTGCACAACCCTATCCAGGGCATGCAGGCTGCAGATCATGGCTCTAGCCTGGCTCTGGACCATGCTGTCACTGTTGCAAGATCCAAGCCCAGCTCCAAAGCAGTTCTGCACCCTGCCATGCACCCTGTAAGTGCTGTTGGGACCATTCTCCATGGAAACCCCAGCCTCCTGCTATCACAGCACAGCTGTTGCTGGGGTTTCCATGGAAACCAGTCCCAGCCACCTGGGCAGGGGCTGCTGGGAAATGGAGTCTGGCTGCCAGCTGGATCTGTCATTTTGCACTACCCCCCCTTAAGATGAAGCAGTGACACCTGAATAGCAACATGGGATCAGGGATCCCTGGGGCAGCCTCCCTTTCCAAAGATCTAAGAACAACAAGGCATGACAGGAGAGGTAAAGGGGAACAAACTCGAGAGCTGGAGCAGAGCAGGGACTGAGCGGCCACCAGGGGGCATTGTGGCCACTCCTGAAACCAGCACCTGTCACAGTTGGCAAACCCCAAGCTGATGAATAGGAGCTGCAAACAAATCTCTCTGATCTAAGTGAGTGGGCAAGTGAACTTCAATGTCAACAAGTGCAAGGTAATGCACATAGGAAAAAATAACTATACTTATACAATGCTCTATTCTGAACTAGCTGTTATGACTCAGGAAAAAAACCTTGGAGGCACTATACATAGTCCTCTAAAAAATCAGCTCAATGTGCAGCAACTAGGGAAGCACGAAATGGGCCATATTCCATTTGGATTCGGATTCGGCCCATTCAACTTCTGGTCCACTTCTGGGTCCACTGCTGAGCATGTGGGGGGCCCCCTGTGCCCCCCCTGGGCACCCCTGGCTTGGCAATTGGCTGTGGGGGGACCCCAGATGCCCCTCCAGACCCAGGAGGCACCAGTCACCAAGCCAGGGGGTGCAGGGGGGCCCCCTGTGTGCTTCCCAGCAGATCCAAAAGTGGACCAGAAGTGGTTCTGGTCCACTTCCAGGTCTGCTGCCAAGCACTGGGGACTCCCCCCCCACCATGCTTCTATGGGACACTCCATCCACCCCAGAATCACAGCATTCACGAGCCACCTGGTACCTTAAGGTATGTAGAAAAAAACATTTAAAGCTGTATCTATATCTGAATCGTCAAATCTTTCCAAATCTCTCCAAATCAATTCAGAGAGATTAAAGGGTATCTTGATTTGATTCAGATTTGGAAATTCAGCTACTGAATCAGGTCGAATCTCTGCCAAACTGAATCATAGAATCATAGAATCAATGAGTTGGAAGGGATCTAGACAGATCATCTAGTCTGACCCCCCTGCCATGGGCAGGAAGGAGCACTGGGGGTGGCGGGGTCATAAGACCCCAGCCAGGTGCCTATCCAGTCTCCTCTTGAAGATCTCCAGGGAAGGTGAGAGCGCCACCTCTCTGGGAAGCCTATTCCAGGCTCTGGCCGCCCTTACAGGGACCAAAGCTTTGCACAGCCCTACGAGCAACCACATAAACTAATGCAGTGTTGGACATCATTAATAAAGGAATTGAAAACAAGAGAGAGAACATCATCATGTCATATGATGTTCATGTCAAAATCCACAATCCACCTAGAGAAGGGCAACCAAAATGATCAGGAGCCTGGAGCAGCTCCCATAACAGGAGAAACTAAGGGTGGGGACAAAATCAACAGGGAAAAATTTTGTACAATGTTCCAGAATACTAGAGCTAGGGGGGACCCACTGAAATTAGTAAGAGACAAGTTAAAAATTAACAAGAAAGTACTTTTTTATGCAGTGCATAGTTAATTTGTGGAACTCATTACCCCAGGAAGTTGTAGAAGCAACTAGTACAGCCAGGTTAAAAATAGCTATTAGACGTCATGCACATCATGTGAGGCTCCAGAAAATAGAGAAAGGGAAAATATAGTGCCAATCTTTAGGAAAGGGAAAGAGGATCAGGGGGGATTACACACTGGTCAGTTTTACCTTGATGTATGGAAAGATCATGGAGTAAGTCATTAAGGGATCTAAGTCTAAGCACCTTGACAG